CGTAGGCAGAGGGAGCAGGTTTCCCCCCTCCCTCAGGAATGCAGCCAGCTCCAGTTCCCTAAAGAGACAGGCTGAGGGTGTGGTCCCCTGTGTGCTGGGCCCATCCTAATTGAATGGTCACAGCACAGAGATTTAAATCACAGTGTCGCAAGGCAGAGATTTTTGGGGAGAAACCAAGGTGGCTTTTTGCCACAAGTTATCCATATCCCAGGTGAGTGGAGCAGACCCTATTGCCCCACAGCCTGGAGCTCCAGTGGACAATGCTGCTGCTCATCCGGGTGCCTGACTGCCCCATCCAAGATGAAACTCCTGTCCCAGCTGCTGTGTTACATCCCAGGGAAAAGCAGAAAAAACAATGGCTATCCCAGCCCTGCCAAATTATCAGATGTCACCAGGGGCTGTTTGGAGCCCATTACCAGGCTAAACAATTTGAGCCACCATATTTCCTCATCGAGTAGCCAGATGTGAGATCTAGCTGTGCTGGGGAAAGGTGGCAGTGATGAAAGAAGCATTTCTTACCCTTTACTTTAACCTGTTGTGCAGTGAGGCTGTGAAACAGGTGCCAGGTCCTCCACCAGGAGCAGTTACCAGGATACAGTCATGCACTGTGTTCATCGTTCCCTCTGCCAATCAGAGCATGATGCTTTGGGATAAAGGGAGCTGGGGTCTTTCTTTATCAGACTAGTTCATGTGGTAAAGCATTATGTAGCGCAGGGACACAGGGACAGCGGTGACTTCTGGCTGCCGCGTGTTCACAACTGCAATTACGGCAGCAGCTGCTTTTCTGTGTCTCCCCCCAGCATCAGCCCCCCTGGGACAGTTCCTGTGTTCACCCCGCCCTAATAATGCCTCTGGTGCAGCCCTACTGCCATTGCTGGTGGCAGCAGGGAAATGAGCAAACAAATTTATCAAGTGCTTCCACTTTCTTTCTGGCCCCAGGAATCCAGCAGAACATCCAGGCTCTGCAGCATGCTCTCAGGCACCCCCTTGTGTACCGTGACTCGAGGCCAAGGCTGGACAGCCTGCAGAAACCCTATGTGCCCAGGAGAAAGGTAAAGAGGTTGGACCCTGAGGGCAGAAACATTGTGTGCATCTGCACAGCTAGAACAGCTCCAAATCAAAACTTTGGATCCAAGTGTGGGGATAAATCCAGATCAGAACTTGGTAATGGGCTTGAGCTGAAACCTTGGGCCCAAATGTCCCAGCCAGGTCTGGATCAGAACTAGGACTCTCGTCTTTTCTCACTACATCAGAGGTCTAATCCATAGTCTAGCAGGTGCCTCCTCATCTAGGCATGCATGTACTAACTATAGGCTGTGTCAGACTTCAGAGCCTGGTAATAGGTGCTAGCACATGCTTTTACCAGAACAGCGGGAGCCAACTTTGTTGGCAGGAGTGTCACAAATTGACCCCACGCCCTCCCCAGGTGCCACTCTGATACCCTTCCCCTGCTGCTTTGCTTTTTGCTCTGTGCCCTGTCAGCAGCTGTGCTACCTGTCCCATCCCTGATCTGCTGGGTGCCACATACAGGCTGTCCCTGGCATTTGTGGCACCCACGCTGCAGGTTGGCCACCTCTGGACTAGAACTTTGTAAAGGACCTCAAGGTACTGCCTAAAAGCTTGTCTTCAAGTCCACACAACTGGATGATCTCCACCCTGGAGCATGGTGGGCTCCAAGACATGTCATGTTCCAAGCTGTGGTGGTTTGTAGTGTGCAATTTGAAACAGGGATGGGATGGGTATGGGCTAGCACAGCTCTGGTGAATGGACTCAGGAGTCCAATATGTTTGATAGCTCCTCAGCTAGGGCTTACTGAGATCAGAATGGCATTTAGAAAAGTCCATCTGAATAGCTACTTATGGAGTAAACACCTGGCAGCAGAACACCTCGAGGCCTATACAGCAGGATTTCTTGTGGCAGTGGGCAGCTGAAAGAGATGGCCAAGTCTAGCATAGTAAAACAAGGATGCATGGCCCTGGGATGCTTCCTTGGGCTTGAGCGAAAGCTCCAGCAGCTTTGCCCAGTGCTGCAGCTCAGCAGTTAAAATGGACAGGTCTCGTTTCCAACAAGAGAACGCTTTGCCTACCCCTGTGAGACTGGGCGGGAGGGAACAGGGCCGGACTCTCAGCATGCTCACAGGAACGAGAGGACTCGCTGTGAGGCAGTCACCCCTCCTTACTCTTGCTTGCTTTCCCACAGGTTGGGAAGCCACCTGGCCCTGCCCCTCGACGGACGAAGGCAGAGGTGCTGGAAGACCTCCTGGTGGCCATGAGATGGCCTGTGAACATCACGGAAGTGCCGCTAGGTGTGTTCCTCCCCCCCGCCCACGACTCATCTCAGGGTTTTAATCCTGTGCAGAGATTGTGCTAGAACTGAGTGTGGAGGCGCTGGACACACCTGCCTTATAAGGATTAGATTAGTGATGGTAACTTAGGTGGTCCAGTGGTTGAGACAGCAGACTTGGGACGGGATGTCTGGGCTCTGCCCCAATTTTCCCCACGGCCCAGGGATGCCAATGGCTGTTCCACTTGATGTCGATGTCTCTGCCCCTTGGTTTCTCCATCTCTTCAAGGTAATGATCCTCCTCCAGGAGGTGCTGAGGGCTTTAGAAGCTGGGAGGACTCAGCCTGTTACAGAATCAGGCCCTCCAGAGCCAGACCTATGTGTGTTTCCTTGACAGCTCAGATGCAGGTAAACAAGGAAGTAAAGGTAGCATGGAGCCTGCTGCTTCCATTTCTGACAGCAGGAAACAATTGCTTTCAAATCTGAAAAAGCACCAACCTAGCCCCAGCAGGAGGGTGAGGAGGACAGTCAGGCGTCTCAGCTCTGGAGGGAAAAATAGAGTGCACAGGGAGTGCTGGCTTGGTTCTTGAATCCTCTGCAGCAGTGCTTCGGGTCGAAAAGGCCATGTTTCAGGTGCCGTGATCACTCTGCACTGGGGCTGTGGACTCAAGCCCTAACACTGTCCTGCACACATCCTGCTGCTTTACAGATGAGGGAAACCGAGGCAGGGAGATTAAGTGATTTGCTCCAGGCTACAGTGGAGTCATAGAATCAGAGACAGGTGGGACTGTTAGAGACTTCCAGAGGCCACATCTAGTCCAACCCCTGCCTGAGGCAGGATCATCTGTATTCAAAACAGCCTGCACAACTCCATAATTTAACTTCTTAGCAAAGCTACTGTCAACCCTGACACAACACAAGGCCTAACTCCTGCACCTGCCACAGGTAAAGCAGGGGGACCGCAGCGGCCAACATCCTGCTGCTGTGAAAGGTTGTTAATATACACATGAGAGATCCCAGGTATAGGCCGTGCCCCCACTGCAGAGGAAGGCAAAACCCCCCACCCCCACTGTGTATCAGCCTGACCAAGGGCAACATTTCTTCCTGGCCCCAAATGCAGCAGGAGTCTGAGTCTGAACAGAAGCAAAGCCCTCTAGCAAGAAACCTCCAGCTTTAAGGCCCAGCAGGAGCATTGGCACAGCCGTCTCCATCCCCAGCCTGGGCCTACAGCCAGCACCCAGCACCTCTAGGGGAGGCTTAAAAAGACCCTGACACATGTAGCTAGGGACTGGGGGTGGAATGTCTTCCACAACCTATGCAGCAACCAGCAAAGCCCAGAAGCCTGGAAAATCCCCATAATAGAAAACAGGCATCACTACACCCAGATCATCCCCAACCAGTGCCTGTCCAACCTCTTCTTGAACCCCTCCAGTGATGGAGTGCAACTGCCTCCCTGCTCTAGCTGTTCTCACTGCTTTCCAAGTCAGCCTCAGAAAGCCTGGGGCCGCTCAGGCCACCGAATCAGTTTCTCTCCCTGCAAGAGCAGAAGCTGTTTCAGGCACAGCTGCAGCCTCAAGTGTTTTTGGGACTAAGCTGCTTTGTGCTGCCACCATATTGTAAGTCATGGCAGAGGCTCATGTGTCTGCAGTGAGGCGCTTGATGCCTGGGTGCTTCTGGAAAAAAACAGTCTTATGCTACAGGGCCAGCCTTTCCAGTGCTGATCCTCACCAGCTCAATGGGAGCATTGGTGAAGCAAAGGGTGCAGGGTGGGTGGACATTGGTTTCCCCAGGGGAATTGGGAGGGAAGCAGCAGGAGAATAAAATTCAGCATGACCCCAAGGAGAGAACTGAGTCCAGGGGAGAGCCAGTGAGATAGTGACTCTGATTTTCCCTAGTGTCAGTGCTGAAGAAGAAGACGTCCAACCCGAAGGAGTACCAGGAGGCCCTGCGGCTGGTGAGGGAGTTCCAGAAGACGTACAAGGCCATGATCGCCAGCTCCAGCAAGACCCTTCCCAAGGAGTGCAGGAGTGTAGAAGGGTTGGGTCAGAGCCCAGGTGCAGGAGCTTTTGCCGAGATCCAAGAAAGCAAACGGCAGCCGTGGGCTGTACCAGCAGCTATGGCCAAGATCCAGAGCCTCAAACATTGTCCCCTGGTGAAGGGAAGTCCATCTACGGGGCCAGCCAGAGTGAAGTTTGCTGCATAGACACATCTCTGGGAAACTGGAGCTTCTCTCTGTTTGCATTGCTGGAAGATGACAAGTGAGTTTTAGAACCAGTCTATTGCAGCGGTTTGGAAACGCGGGGCGGCAAAAAGACATGCACAACTCGGCCAGTCTTAGATGGTGACATCCATGTTTGCTGGAGCAGCAGTCATGTTTGCTGCTGTTTACATCATCACAGCTCCAAGCATGGAAATAAAGAGCACACAAACCTCCTGCAGTTCAGCCCTTGCTCTGGTGTTGTCGACCGTGGGGCATCCTGTGTCGTCAGGCACTTAGATTTGCAGTTGAGCTGTGCAAGGGAGCAGTGCTATAACCGACTGCTCCCAGGTGGGAGAAGACCCAGAGGGGGTGCAGTGGTGTGGCTGCACCCCTTTTATCCCTCCTCCAGCAGGTGCAGGGAGGGGGAATATGCCTCCGGGCCTCTGCTGCCACCACAGTTCCCAGTAACTGCAACCCAGCTGGAGTGGGCAGGAGCTTATCTCGCTCCCAAGATTGCACCCAGCAGTAGCAGGCAGGAGAGAGGAGTGAAGGGAAGCAGGGGAATGCTTACCTGCCTTGGGAATGAGCCCTGGCTGCAATGCTGTCCACCTGCCGTGGTGTAGGGGAGCAGGGGTGGGGGGCAGGCTGGGAGCAAGGGGTGATGCAGCCCATCCCTTCCCTTACCATTCTTCAGCACCAGAAGTAAACCCTCATGCCTTTGAGATAGCTCCAGTTCCCCCCCAGGGGTTTGGGGAGAGGATTGGTAAGGGTGCAGTTCAAATCTATGTGCTCACGTGCCCCAATCACGGGGCTGGGAGAAGCCCTTTCCCTGCCTTGGGATTAGTCAGCCCCATTTCAGGCATTGATCACTCTTCTGGGGCTGGGGAGGAACTTCTCCCTTGCTGCCTAATTGGCCTCTGCACTGGGGTGGTGGGGCGGGGGGGTCACCTCCCATTCAGCAGTCCAGAGGCCTGGGGTAGGGGGTGTGACGTTGTCCAGTGTCCGTTGCCACCATTTGGCCTGGGCCAAGCACTGGCAATGGTTCAACATAGGCTTGTGTGTCCTGATAAATCAACTGGAATTGGATATGGCAGGAGGGAATGGGATGGGAGGAGACAGCCCTTTCCTCACCACCCCTTGGCTTTCATGTAAGAAGTGGGTACAGGGACATAGCTTATACCGTGTGGGGAGATGGCAGCAGCCCTCCATCAGGTGGAAGAGATGGCAAAGGAAGGGCCAACATGGGTCCCATTTTCAAAGAAGGGAGGAAGGAGGACCTGGGGAACTATAGGCCAGTCAGTCTTACCTCGATCCTGGGGAACCTCTCTGAGAGAGTTATCCTGGCAC